TGGGGCTTAGGGTTTGGCCTTTGTGGTTTTCATTCTTGATCTGTATTCTTTCAGCCAGTCGCCCCAGGGCCTGGCCAGAGGAGGACTGCAGTCAAGTGTGCAGTCTTGCAATGAACATTAGAAACCAAACTAACCCGTGGTAAGGGCTTAATCCAGGTGAAGAACTTGACAGGCGAGGCCATAGAGAGGGCTGTGAACTTGACAAAGGAGGCCATAGGGAACGGCCCTGAGTTCACGACCGGAGGCTCCGGTCGTGACTTGCCAGAACCACTATTTTTGGCGGATTAACCTGGGAATTGTATATGTGGTTCGAGGAGAAGCCAGAAGCAGAAACCAATCAGGAATTCAGAAGTGAATGCTCGTTTATCAGTGGCAAGGGAGATTTGGGAATTTATTGTGTTCCTTGAATTATATAAATAGTGATAGTGCTAATAAAACAAGAGTGGGGAAGCTTAACCTGGATAAAGGAGAAAAGCGGGCCCCTTTTATGACCTGCGATCGCCTGAGCAGCATTATTAGGGGCGACCACGTGCAAGTGGTTTTTAGGCTGCATGCCAAATAGATCATCATTTTGCTATAGAACTTGCATTTGTAGTTGGGTTAATGAATATTGTTTGAAGTACATGTACATTCTTTTTCACCTGAAAAACATTACTAACCAGAGGCATATGGGGTAAAATGGATGCCCAGTGTGTATTTTACATAGGGTTGTATTTCACATTTATAGAATTTGGCCTTGCCTGTTCCCCTACCTCTTGCAAAAAGCAATATTCTTTGAAATGAGGTGGATAATGGCTCTGTAATATTTATTACTTTAGTGATAGGACGTTCAGTGCTTCTGGGGACTGTCCTTCTCCGTTTAAATCACCGACCAAGTCACATACTTGCCTTATACTCGCGGTTTCCTTGTGCTCAGTATTTGTAGGGAGTTCGACATTTACTTCCAATTTCCTCGACTGTTTAAAGAATGTTTAAGATTTAAAACAAACAAACAAACAAACATAGAAGTCAACTATGAGCTCGGGAGCCAGACAGTAAAGATACCTGTTTTCACACGAGTATAAAATGCTGCTTTTGCAAATATTCCATGCAGAGTTCTCACCACACAGTTGGCTGATAAAACTGTAAATAAACTAAAACTGTATGGCTTTGTTTCCACGGGAAGGAGAACATTTAGCTTCATCTTTTGTGAGTAAGCAAAGTTCTAAGACACAGCAACAACAGTAAAAAGAGGTCACGGAAATCTGCAACCTGGCGGATCAGAGATGTTAAAATTCTGACGTTTGGGAAGCAAGCCTACATTTTAAATCATTTATTCATCTAATAAATATTTATTGCTCTGAGCCAGACTCTGTTTTTCTACAGGTCGGGGATTGAGCAGTAAACAAAAGCAGACAAGAAGGTCTGCCCTGGTGAGGCTTACATTTCAGTGAGATGAGACAGAAATATGGAAGATGTGAAATACTTCGTATTTCCAGTGGTAAAAGGTACTATGGAGGAAAGTAAAGTGGGGATAGGGGATGGATGTGTGTTAAGATGGTAGGCACCACTATCTGGCCCTGGACCGGGTTGAGGACTCACAGAGTGGTGACATCGCTGCTGTGGTTATTAGGTTATGTTAGACGATGAGACTCCATCTCAGCAGATTCTCCTGCTGGCCTTGAAGAAGGGAGCTGTGAGACGGCCACGGGGCAGGGACTGTGATGCGTCTGGGATATGACAGTGGCCCCACTCAGAGACCACAGGAACACTAGGGCCTCGGTCCTCCAGCCTTGAGGGACTGACCTGTCAACAACCATGGGAACTCGAAGGAGAATTCCGAACTTCTTAAAGGAAGACTGCCGAGATGACACCTTGATTGCAACCTTGTAGGACTTTGAGCAGAGGGCCCAGCTAAGCCTGGACTGACCTTGACAGCGACTGTGAGACAGGAAGTGGGTGTGGTTTTTAAGCCACAGATGGGGGCCAGCGAAGGCTGCCTTGAAAGAGCTTTTGGAGTTGAGAGCGCGTGGGAGAGAGTATGAGCCAGGCCCTTTCTGTGGGGGCCTGGCAGTGCCTGGAACAGGAGGTCATGCTGTCGGAAGTGAGGTCCGACAGTTTGCCTGGACCCAAAGTGGTTAGGGCTATGGAGCTGTTTCGGCTCTTGCCCTGAAGGCAGTGGGAAGTCATGAGAGGGTTCTGGACAGAAGAGTGATGTGGTCCGACCTTTGTTTTAACAAGGTCTCTGTGGCCGTTGTGCTGAGACTGGACAAGGCCAGGAAGACAGGTGCAGTAACTCAGAGCACAGATGACAAGGTCTTGGGCCAGGGTCCAGCTGTACAGGTGGTGAGGACTGGTCGGGCTCCGGAAATATTTTGAAAGTTGAGTGTATGCGATTTAATGACAACTGGGACGTGTGGTGCAATAGAAAGTGAAACATAAAGGATTATTCCGGGGTTTCTGGCCAGGGCATCTGAAAGGAAGATGCTGCCATAAACTAGCAGG